CGTGCTTACTTACTAACTTACTTACTTACTTACGCCTGCTACTCCGAATGGAGCATAAGCCGCCGATCAGTAAATTATTTTTCTGGTCAGTAGTTAATTTTTAGTGAGTTGGATTTGTACGAGATGTGTTCGCTAACTCCATGACCAAACTTCTTCCTTTATTCCGGCTTGGGACTGGAAGTAAACTTAGAAGGGCTCCAGGTGCAATTTGAGACCAATGACAGACTAATGCAAAATTTTAACTTACACGAAGTTTTATCTCAACAATACACTACTAATCAAAATTTTTTTCAAGCTGTCCACGGTATAATTATGAACAAATGAATTCGATGTCAAGTGATAAACTAATACTTTCAATTAGAGTTATGGAGATTAGTGTTTTTACACATTGAAATCATCAGTCAGTCATTGTTAGACAGACCACATCATTAAAAAATCTGGAAGCACTGAACGGCCGTTTCGTCCGTGTATGGGACTCACCAGCAGTACGCACCCATAACAAGTGCACCTCACAGGATCAGGACCTGAGACCTTCTGTCCTGTGCGTGAACACCTAACCTCTGAAATAGTGGGCCAGCATCCAACTATGTTAAACTTATTGTTCATTTTCAGTAGTCTATCCTAATTACTACACGATCTCATTTGTTTGAGTTTTACAGTCCTTTTTAGGTGTCAGTCTATAAATATTGCTTAGTCAGAAAAAATTACAATGATATGTCTTCACTCCTGTATGCCTACTAAACCGGATCGATAATTGATTGAGTCCACTAATTATGGGTTCATCAACAGCAAGTAACATCAGAGACTGCTGAGTATACTAACATGGTGTATCTCATACAACTTATTTCTATACCCAGCCAACCCAATGAGAACTCGATAAAAAGCAATTGATGCATTCCGTTTATTTTTCGACTGCAAACTCATTTGAGAAGATATATAATGCGAAAAATTACAATCTGTTCAGTAGTGGATCGCTTTTAATATAAAAGTAAGTAAGAGCTATATCAATAATTGACTATAATTTCTAGACGTTCAATGTACCTTAATAATTCAACATTTGTTGAAGCGAAATGCTTCGGAATCGATGGCCAGACACTATCAGCAACAACCTACTGTCGTTGAGAACAAACCAGATTCCAGTGGAGGAAGAAATCAGGAATAACCGAAGAAGTTGGTGGATAAGACACACATTGAGAAAAGCACCAGGCTGAGTCACAAGACAGGTTCATACATGGAATCCTTAAGGCGAGAAGCAAAGAGGAAGGCCAAACAGCACATTACGTCCAGAAATGGAAGCAGACTTTAAAAGGATGGACAGGAGTTGGACAGAACTAAAAAGCAATAGGTTGGAGGATACTAATCGGCGGCCTATGCTCCATTGGGAGTAACATGCGTACGTAAGTAAAGATTGAAAATGCTGTGGACGTTAGATTCCCAGAACGCACTTGAAAAAAGGTCCTAATTTCTGATTTTTTTTATGTTTCCGAGCATAGGCTGATCACAGTTGACCTTGAGATAACATTTCTTACCCGGAAAATCTTTTACTGTTATTGGTTGATGTAATATTTTAGTAAGCTATTTTTGTGGTTCTCCTAAGGTCGTTTCTATCATGTATAAATAAACTTAATTTGTGTGCTTGAAAACTCCGATTTTCTGAGTGCATACAGAATACACTTCCTACACCATATCAAGACTTCTTCCTCTACTTAGTGGAGCCTCAGGATGCTCTGATTATAGTAGCCTATCGTGTCACTGGATCATTTGTCTTCACTCTCGTTTACCCGGACTAAGGTGAACTCGTAGTAGTTTCAAGCATATCAGTTGACAAGTATAATTATAAATGATATGGTTATAATCGTGGTGGTGTTTCCTTCTCTGAGCTGAATATTTTAGTTGTGACGCTTTCATTGTTTACTCCTGAACATCATCATCAGCACAAACTTCAGATGGAAGTGAAGCATTTGAATTTCTCCACATTTGACCTGTAGCTTTTTCTGCTAACCTCAGTCTTGATTGGTTGCTGTTGACCTTAAAGCTGTCGTTGTTTGCACTTTTGTTTTGATTGTATTCCCCTTTTGATCTGTTTCTTCATCCTATGTCACCGATGATTTTCCTGATTGGTTGATGAATTAGGTGTTTGTTGATTGCTGATGAACCTGAGTGCCAGGCTTTTGAAAATTCTTTAGTGTTCTTTATCCTCCCCCCTATCCAGTATTTCCACATCGTTATACTCTGATCAAAATTAATTATTAAGTTAATGTTCACTGTGAAATTTAATAGGTTCTGGATTGGATCCTTGATGATGTCATACATTGTGAGCATTTAATTTTAGAATAAAACATCCGTCCAATGATTTCTAATACTCATTCGTATAACAATCAAAGTCAACTTACAGTAAATACGATATGCAGTATGGTGTTTCGCCAAACTAAAAGAGATTTTCAGTGTTCTAGTGAAAAGACATGACCACTGGAATTCAACCTTGTTCAAGTGTAGACAGTAACTACCAAAGACAAATAGGTGAGGTTTCGCAAAAACCTTACTTCGATCGAAGTTAAACATTAACACCGCTGGATGCCGTTCCAGTGGTTAGGCGTTCACGCGCAACACCAAAAGTCCTGGGTTCGAAACCAGTGGGTAATGGGGTTCGTGGGCCCACATTGCTGATAATCCTCATACCAAGACGAAATGGCCATCCAGTGATTCCAGGTTTCTGACCGTGTTGGTCTAACATTGATCGATTCATAATTTCACATATTGACTTCACAATCTCTACAACTCTGTCAAGCTTATATAATCAACACATCTAAATTACGATGTTATACAAAATTTATAAATGCGAAATTTTTAATTAATTCATTAAATTTATAACTAAGAAAAAAAATTAAATTATTTATAAGAAGAGCAATAAAAAAGTGTTTTTATGACGAAAATTTAATTTAATTTTGTCCAAATAACATCAATTTTTTAATTGAACATTGAACAATATACATATTTTTATGTTGTTTATATAAGCCAATAATATTAATAAATCTATGAGAAACAAGTTAATGCATACATACATACTTCTCTTCATTGAATGAAGAGCATCATCGATTAATTTTGTCGGAATAAATCATCATTTTTGTCTTTTGTTGTTGTTTTAATTTTGTCTAATAACGTCGATTTAAACAAAGAGGTAACATCTACTTAATTTGAATGTTATTAAGCGTGGTGATTTAAATGATAGTGTGGTGCTGTGGTGCGAGCTACTTATAAGTAGTATATGACGTGAGTGTCAACGTAATGTCTGGCAGCAGAAAATGGCGGAAGATCAAGAAAGGAAGAGCGGAGAACACAATGGAATTTGTATGAAACGCATGAATAGTGAGTGACAATGGATTGATGTTGTTTGCAACAGGAACAGTCCAGTTCGATATGACGAACTGTTATTTTGCAAATGAACGATTTACGATATGGTTTTCCAATTTTACTGAGTAACTCTGTAATTTTCGTTAAATGCAATCAATCCGGTTGCCCCACCTGTGTTCTCTTATACTACATTTGGTGTCGCTGCCTACGCAAAGGATGAAGATTCCATGGCCGAAGGAGTTTGAGGATGGAGATATGCGGAGCTTCCTGAAGGAGTTTGAGGCCGTGTCGGAGCTGGTGGGGGTGAAGGAACCGAAGGCGAAGTTGGTGGTGCTGGGGACGCTGCTGAGAGGAAGGGCGAAGGCCGTATAAGACAGCTTGGACGGTGCTGGCGGGAAGACGCCATGGGAGACGGTCATATCTACTAGTTAGTTGGCTTACTGATTTGTTTCTTGTTACACTCGTTTCTAGGTATGATTAAAACTATTACGAGTTCACGTTAGTCGAATAACGAGAACAAACAATAATGAACCAGCGTCCAGGTAGGCTATTCTGATCCATTGACTCAAATGTACTAACAAGAAGTCTTGATATAGAGTAGGAAGTGTATTCTACAAACATCCAACCAGCACACACAATGAATCCAAATACACAAATCGCACAGCGTTTATTTATACACCATAGAGACGTCATTGAGAGAGTCACAAAATACCATACTAAAATGTCACAGTAGCCAATCACAACCAAGGATTTTCTTGGTGGGAAATATGATCCCAAGATCAACCGATCGGCCCATGAAATAAATCCATAATAAAGACACTTATCAAGCGAGTTCTGAGCATCTAACATCCCCAATATTTCTAACTTGAATACTGGTTAATTCCTGACCACTAGATTAATAAATTGGACAGTTATGGAAGGTATCAGTTGATATACCAAACTCTACACTTTAAACTTAGCTCGCATTTCAATCCTTTCAAAGTAAATATGTGTTTTGAATGATGTATAGCAGTAAATTTAAGTCAATAATTTGTTTTTAGATGATGGTCGATGTCTGTCTGAAATGACATTTTTGAATTTTCTAAGACAAACTAAACGACTATAGTTCTTTAGGAATTTCATGACCTTTTAGTGAATTGAGAAAGGAAGAATATTTTGATATCTGAATGACTCATGAGATTTAAAAGGTTGTTTAGATAGTTGGCAGATTTTTCATTGATGTCGGCTCAATGGTCTAGAGGTTAGGCGTTGTGTGTGTCTCTTGCTATCCTATGCCATAGATGTGTATAGCATATATTATACTATACTATACTATACTGTTATACAGAGCTGAAAGTTTCCTATGGGATCAAAGGTTCACTGTGAACATTGTGGATGGTTTGGCATTGCTTTAGCAAGCATCACAAACGGTCCATACACAAAGTTGGTTAGCAGGATGACAGATTTCTTTGATACTAGTGATTGTTTTACAACATTCCCGAGAGCCATTGTCACTGGGATGTTATTACCATTGCTAGGAATAATGAGTTTGACAGTCATGTAAGCGGGATGCGTCAAAACTTGGCCTATTCCTACGGTGCATATTGACTGACGCAATCATAGCTTAGAAATAATCACTATGAATAAATGTCCTGAGGAGCCCATCATACCTCGTTGACCTTGCGCAGGAGGTGCACTTACGCCCATCATTCCACCGCCGGGACTAGGACCTCGACCACGACCTCCGGGAATCGGTCCACCGCCCATAGGACACATTCCTCCACCCATGAGGCCCATTCCGCCACCCATCGACCCCATGTCACCACCACCCATCATGTCCGGACCACCCATGTTATAACCCAATGTTGGCATGCATCCAGGTCCACGAAGTGGCATCCTTTGAGCCAGTGCTGTTGCAGCTTCTCGAGACAACCAACCACCGTAGTTAAGAGCATCACCCTCACTGAAGTTGGCAGCGTCATAGTCTTCACGGCGGCCACGATGGGGAGAAGACTCGACCTCCTCTATCACAGCTCTTAAGCATTGGACGACATTGTCTGGGTCAGCAACCATCTGTACTACTCGGTCAGTGGATAATGGAGCCAACATTTGATATACCTTGATAACACGCATTTTGTAATTATCACGCATATCCTTGATACATTCCCCACCACGGCCGATGACGGAGCCAGCTTGGCTTTCGTGCACCAGGATTCTAAAGTCGATCATGTTCTCGTCTTCCTCGTCATCCCGTTCTGAGTCTTCGTTTCGTCTTGGATGAGTCGAGACACTTGGACACCGATTATGCGTTTCGGATCAGAGAGTATTGCGTTCATTATGTACTTTAGTTTTAGACAAACATCGCGCATGATGCTGCAGATGGCTTGCAGGTCAACCTCGATAGTCATTATCCGTTCAAGGCCTCTGCGCTATCGGGAATATTCAGCTTGACATTATACTGTGACCGTATTTTTTTTTTGATATTTTCCCCACCCTTCCCAATCATTATTCCTGCAGCTCTCCCAGGAATAAGAAATCTGATAAAGACATTGGTTAGGTCGATTGTAGAACGCTGAAATTTCGACTCAGGACCATTCTGGTTATTTCCTGAGCTGTCGCGTTTGACAATAGAGGATTAATTTTACTCTTAATTTTAATACATTTTCAACCAATAACTCCACCTGGAGCTCCTCTAGGTCTCCTGCCGTTCCAAAGCCCAGCCAGCCAAACCAGGACGGTTCGGGCATACGTTTGACAACTCCTTCGCGCAGAAAACGAACTCTAAGCAGTAAAAAAAAAGGTAATTGAATATCATTATCATACCCAAAATAACAAATCCAACTGAAATCGGATAACTCATTAGTGAAAAGATGGAGTTGTTTTTTTTTAAAAAAACTTAAACTTTTTTTTCTGTTCTTCTCTTCACCTCTAACTGCATTAAAACAAAATAATCATCAGTTTTTGTTTTGTTTTATTTTGTCCTTAAACACACGAAATAACCTTCAACATTGAACTTGTATGTTGAACAGCAGCATTAAAAATTAGGTTAACATTAAAAATCACATAACATAAAATTCATTTCATTTTCATTTTCATTTCACTTCGCTTCGCTCCTTTTTTTCTACTTTACCGACAAGTTTTACCCCTGAAAAAACTAGTATAAATCACAAAAAATAAAAATTGAAGAATCATTGAAAGAAGACCGGAAGTATAAAACAAGAACTATTTTCTCCAACAACAACAACAAAAAAAAAATGGTCATTTCGAAAAATAAGTAAAGTTATGCCTCAAGAGAATTTCACTTTGAATATCTATAGTAAGTTATCTGTCAGTGGTTGAATGAGTTATAGAATAAGCAATTATTCATCTATAGTAAGTTGGAAGCATTAAAATAGCGGTTTCGTCCTGATTCGAGACTCATCAGCAGTGTAGCATCTAACTGTCTAACTTCGACCAATCCACGGTCCCAGTCAACCTTATCCATTGTCTTCAATGAGCACTAATTCACATGATTGAATTTCACTGGTCATGACTTCTCTCAGTGAAACGCCGTCGTGGAGCTAGTCACTGGTAAACACATGATAATGTGCATTATAAGGCTGTGGAGATTATTGAGTTACTTTTTGAAATCATGGATCGATGAGTGTTGGACTTACTTACTTACTTACTTACTTACTTACTTACTTACTTACTTACTTACTTACTTACTTACTTACTTACTGTGGTGGTGTTTCGTTCTCTGAGCTGGTTGTTTTGGTTGTGGAGCTTTCATTGTTCTTCTGAGATGATGAGGAATTCAGAAGGTTAGGATTAGAAAAAACACAAACAGTGGATGCACCTACGCCATTGTAAACGATTTTGAGCTATGTCGTTCAAGATCTCTAACTATTGGTGACTTTCGTCTTGCGGACCGCAACCCCGTAGCCTACATCAACCAACATGACTCATTCCACTTGTCAGTGACTTCATGGATTTCTGCCATGTGTTAGTTTGACAGAAATAAAATCAGCTGCATTGCTATTCTTCTTTGCAGTCATAAATCGATCAACGTGATAGAGCACACCATTAAAAAGAAACCTGGAAGCATTAGACGTCCGCTTCTTTATAGTATGGGACTCATCATCAGTGCGCATCCACAACCACCGTATGCGTAAATCAAGTCCAGTGCTTCTAGATTTCTTTCTAATACTATCGTCTAACATTGATCAACACATGACTTCAAAGAAACTCAACAATATTCATAACCCTATAATGAAAATAGTCAACTACACTCGTGAACATAAGCAACTGAAAAAATACGAAAATTAACAAATTCTACAGAATCAATCTAATTTTACTTGTATTATAGTGAAGGAGAACACAGGTGAGGGCAACCGAGTTGTATTTAACAAAAATTACAGAGTTACTCAGTAAAATTGGAAAACCATATCGTAAATTGTTTAATTGCAAAATATCAGTTCATCATATAGAACTGGACTGTTCCTGTTGCAAACAACATCAATCCATTATCACTCACTATTCATGTGTTTCATACAAATTCCATTGTGTTCCCACTCTTCCTTTCTTGATTTTCCCCCCCATGTTCTGCTGCCAGACATTACGTTGACTGACATTCACGTCATATACTACTTATAAGTAGCTCGCACCACAGTATTGTGTTAACGTTCAAAATTTGACCTTGAGCATTGTAACCAATATTGACGATTGTACATGATAGAAAGCTTTGTTTTATATAAACGATACAACAGATAATTCTTTTTGTTTTTTCATTACCAGCATGAAATTGTTCAAGAACAGTGCTTCGGATTATTTCTTACCATGATTTACACTGCATAATAATTAGACCATATTTTTAGATTTAAAAAATAGCATGTACTTTATATTAAATACAATTGAATTGACAGAAGAAGTTTTGCAGAGATTGGTTTAATGTTTAGCTTATTATTCTTCACAGTATGGGGTACCAGTTTGAAATCGAGAACAATTGAACATTGGTAAATCCAGAGATATCTTAAGTAAATTAGTTATAGTTCTGTTGGGGCAAATTAGATCCCCAGAACTCGCTTGATAAATATGTTTATTTTGGATTTATTTGATGAACCGATCAGTTGACCTTGAGACCATATTTCCTACCAGGAAAATCCTTGGCTGTGATTGGTTACTGTGTTATTTTAGTATGCTATTTTGTGACTCTCCCAATGACGTCTCTATGTTGTATAAATAAACGCGAATTGTGTACTTGGATTCATTGTGTGTGTATGCTGGGTGTTTGTAGAATACACTTCCTACTCTATATCAAGACTTCTTGCTAGTACATTCGGGTCAACGGATCAGAGTAGCCTACCTGGACTCTGGTTCATTGTTTTGTTCTCGTTATACAACTAAGTTGAACTCGTAATCGTTTTAAGCATACCTGTAGACGAGTATAACAAGTTTAAAGAATTTTCATCTTAAAATATTAACCAAATAACTCTCATGGTTAAGTGTTATAAGGGAGATTTGAAGATGTAGAGTTTGAGTAAACACTGATTAGGGTTTACATACTTAAAACGAAACAGATGTCCGTTTTGAAGTTTTTTCATGGTACCCCAAATGATACAAGTCTATGACTAATATAACTTACGGAGGTAGAAAACTCCTGATTCGAAATCATTTGATATCGGCTTTTGAGTTAGTAACGGCTTTTTGGAGGGAAATCTCCAAATATTGATTTTCATGCTGAATAGAAATCCTATTAACTTTGACTTCAAAACTATTAATAACCTGACCATAGTATCTGTATTTATTCTAAACACGAAAGTACTGTTTCACTGGTTTACACAAAAGATTTTTGATTGTAAGACCAGGTTGGTTAATTAAGGAAAAAACACCAATAGATTTGAAAGAAACCGTAAGCTTCAAAACCAGTCAGTCAAATTGTAGAATTTCGTGCGTACGTACATCCATTCAAGTTGCCATACCATATTAGCACGAAGATGCAATTGTCAATTCAAATCCCATAGTGGTAGAGGTAGTAGAAGTATTGTAGTGAAGGAGAACACAGGTGGGGCAACCGAACCGTGTTTAATGAAAATTACAGAGTTACTCAGTAAAATCGGAAAACCATATCGTAAATTGTTCATTTGCAAAATATCAGTTCATCATATCGAACTGGACTGTTCCTGTTGCAAACAACATCAATCCATTATCACTCACTATTCATGCGTTTCATACAAATTCCATTGTTTTCTAACTCTTCCTTTCTTGATCTTCCCCCCCATGTTCTGCTGCCAGACATTACGTTGACTGACACTCACGTCATATACTACTTATAAGTAGCGCGCACCACAATCATACCACATTACCACACAGATGAAATTGTCAATTCAAATCCCATAGTGGTAGAAGTAGTAGAAGTATGAGCGGTATTTGGAAAGATTAGGATTAGAAAACGTTATTCAAGGAGTGTGATTTAGTGAAATAAATTTGAGAAGAGGATAATGAAGGTTATAAGGAATTCAGTTTAGAATTCGGAGTTCAGTAATTTTCATAGGATGAATAATTTTTTGAAATTACGACAACGCAATTAATCGCAATCTGAATGCTTATGACATAGTTCTATTCGGTGAAGACGTTGACAAAATGCAGAGTCTTCTGACCACCCCAAGCCAACAATGCAAGCATGTTCGGGATGCGGTTTTCCCCCTCGAAATGCAAAATGTCACTTCAAGATTGACTTGCGTCGGCACCTGAACGAGTGATAGGGAGTGAAGTAGTCGAACGTGTAGACCGTTTCACTTATCTGGGGAGTCTCATCAGTGTTGATGGTCTGGTGACTGACGAAATCTCAGCAGGGATACAGAAAGCTCGATCGCCTCTTGCCAACTCGCGTCACTTATGGAGTAGGCGAGATATTCTTTTGCTAACCAAAGCACGAGTTTACTACGCCGCCATTCGCTCCGTTCCCCCAAATGGTTTCGAAACATTGCCGGTAAGAGTTGAGGACATTTGTAGGCTAATAGTATTCGATTACAGATGTCTTCGAAAAATTGCTCGTATATCCTGGGACAACCGCGTAATCAGTGCTATAGCTAGTAATCGAGTACTAGGTAAGGATGGCAGATCAATAGATGAAGTATTGAAACTTCATCAGTTGAGGTGGTTTGGATACG